TGATGGCAAGGACGTGAGCTAATTGGTCGGTTGTGAGACCTCATCTCATCTTGCGAGTGTTCGAAAGAGATGATCTCTTTGAATGTCATGTCAGGCGATTATTTATACGGACTTCAAAGATTCGCATGCGCCGATTAGTGTAATGACCTCAGGAAACGAACCATCTGCATCCCAGACCAGTGATCCGTGCGAATTTTCTTGCGTAATCAGGGTAACGTTGTATAATATCCATAATCTCGCGGATTGCCAAAGATTGTGTCGACAATTTAATTGGTGCCCACGATACTTCCGCTCTTGCCACCGAATTTGATGACGATGGGGCCTTGGAAATTTGTCATTTGTCATTTGTCATTGGGGAACTTGTTATGTCGATGATGGATGGATGGATGGATGATGAGAGAGAAGATTATTCGCTCGTTCACCCACCCACCTCAGATTCCAGCGGTGTTTCGGGTAATCGCTTCACGACGGTGACACATGGTAACGAGTTGGCGGGTGGCGATTCGTAATGTAATCGGATTAATTTCCATAATTAGTTTGAATAACAAATAATCGAAATGTTTTGGGGGGAAATCTCTAATAGATTATCGTCAAATATGTCGTCATAAAGGGGAACCAATGAATTCATTGATGCAAAATTAACCGATGCATAACGATTAGCTCATTTACAAGATCATATCTGCCGCACTTATTCATGTAAGGCTCGATCGACCCAAAAGGATGATCAATTAATTGTGTCTTTGTTTTGCGCCCTTCCCGTTTAAAACTAGAGAGCGGGGGGGAAAACGTATTCGGATGCGAAGTCAATTGGCAACCGTAAGGAGTGTGATCATTAGCGTCGAACGGTTAATGGATTGTGATTTTCAGAGAGACGTGGACGAATTAAGATCAACGACATGTGTATTCTTACGATTTCGTGAAAGAAAAGCTCGATTGTGTGGGGTACGGCGGGAAATTAAATTTTTTTTTAAAAAAGGGGGTCAATCTTGTTCATTCTTATGAACGGGGCTAATCAAGCAAGTTTCTTTTCGTAAACAATGATCAATCAGAACAAATTTTTGCGCGTCGGAATCATTCACGATAAATTCCTCGTCACATGTCATCTCTCGACTTGAACATTCCTTAATCCGCCACTCATTCGCGCGCGCGCACCCCTCGGTTACGTTATTAGGTCAAGTGGACAATCTGACGTTAATAATAATCATTCCAACAAGTAACTACCTTGATCACGAATGATTTCACATGAAACACCTTCGGCAAAGAAATTACACATGCCAATACCAATAGAATAGAACTTGCAAACATGTACCCAATGGCAATGAGGTCACCGACTATGCAATCAGATGGGACAAGAAAAGTAATCTTGGTACCGTCAGATTTGGTTTAAGCCACCATTTGAATGAATTGCGAGGGTCATCACCGACGAATCCACCAGTAATAATGCTAATTAAAAGTAGGGGGGTCTAGGGATCATACAAGGAAAACAATAATAACCGATAACACAATCATCCGGGGGCGGTTGCAACTAATAATGTGCACACCAATCACATTTCGAGATTGGAAATTTGGAATGATCAATGAAAAAACAAGGAACTCTTAAACATCCGTCGTGGTGTCACTTTGGACTACCCAAAAATATAGTGCTACCAAATTTCAAGATCGGTAAAACAAATTTCCCCATTCTTTCAGATTTTCACGATAGCCAAGTTTTCTATTATTAATAGTGTATTATTCCTCGGAGCTACCACGCTTTATTACAAATTTCATTGGAAAAAAAAAGAGCCGGGAGGAATGGCTTGTGTCTAACGATACTCGATGGACATTATCTTTTGAAATCAAGATGCGCGAAAAAAACTCGTAAGTAACCACGTTTTAATTAATGGAAACTTTCAGGGGGGTATTTATTTTTGTGTTAATGGATAAGCCACGAGATATTGTTGTAGATCCCAACACCATGACCGCGTGGGAATGTGGTGAAACTTTATTCTGCTAGTATTGCGTAGACCCAAATTATATGATATGTATGCGATGAGCGTGGAGTGAGATGATTTGCTCTAGCAAACAAATAACCTTCTGAATCAAGTTATTTGGTGCAACCGAAAGATGTTCGATCATTATTCACACCAAAAAATTGTGTGACACTAGCGAAATTTTTTATTCAGATTTGACGTTATACTATAATTCTATTGTGATATGACCTTTACTAGTTTAGGTAGTTAATATCAGCTAACCTACAACCATGTTCAATACGCACAATCAATTTAATGGTGGCGCAAAAAGTAAACAATACCAAGGATGGAAACTTCAATTCTATTTTTCGTGTGTTGATTTATATCCTAATTGGCCACGACCTTTTTCAAAAATCCCACCATAGAAATTGATTCCAGATTGAACTTTCCTTTTTGACGCGACCACTTACCATAATTGGACCAGAATAATGTTAGCGGCGAATGTCCGATAATTATCATTCAAATCACCGGGATGACATCATAATCAAACCCTTAACAGCATTTTGGAATTGAGAATGATTTTCATCGAATTTTTGTGGCGAGGCGCACACCCACTTTATATTTGATCGTTTGGGGAGGCGCAGGTCTCTCATTTCCCTATTCACCTCTCTATAAATAGAAAATTGTGTGTAATAATGAGGGTGGTTACCTCAATTGTTCGTGGTTCATTCGTTTTATTCGTTCATTCGTCGGTTCATTCGTTGGTTCATTTGTTGGTTCATTTGTTGGTTCATTCGTTCGGTGTCAAGAGAATTGGTCGAAATGCCCGAGGAAACAGATTGTCTCGGTGAAACCTGACAAAGATTGTGTAGAAACAAGGAGGTCACAAAACGTCATCAGATGTCAAAAAGCAATCTGGCATTAATTAAACTAGTAAAGGTGAATGATAGAGTGTGAAAATCATCGTGAAAATGGTCATTTGTTTACTTCCTCATGGCGATTTGTTTACCAAACATTTT